CGTCTGTGACCCACCATAAGTTGTGATATTTTTCATCGTCTTTATGAATACGTTTCACGTAAAAACATGTTCCATCGTACATTATGCTACGAGAGAGAATTCTTCATACTAAACGCATCTATTGATATAACATCAAACTCATTTGCCATCTTGCCCCTCAACCCGAAAATTTAAATTAGCTTCCACTTCATATCCGTATCCAAGAATTAAAGTCGGTATTCCAAAGACTTACTTCGACCTCCGTAAAATAAGAGAAAAGAAAGAAGTTAATTACAACGATAAATAAATATAATATAATAAATAGAAATAAATTCGAGTAGCTAGAGAACCTTTCCTGACTCCTCGTAATTAAGTTAAAATTATGTAAAAAACGCCGTAACTTATCAACTTTGTACTAAAACATTATGCATGATTCAAAGCCTTGAAATGCCTAAAGGCCGAATAAGGATCAATAAAAAATTAAAAAGAGTAAATATTTCTACTCTTTGGAAAAAAACACCACTTGAAGTAATTCACACATAAATGCAAAAATAAAATCATTCATACATGCGCGCATTCCTTTCTTTATGGCCATTTACTTTTGAAACTATATATAATATTTTACTGCTACAAGAACATTCTTGCCCTTGTCTTACTAATGCGTCGAATTAATTGAAATGTTCACTTTCTTTGTGCGGCGGCGGCGTCGTCGTCAGCTTCACCCGAACTCCGCCCGTGCTCCGCCGACCTCCAGAAATTACCATCTTTAAAATACAATTCGCTGCCATAACCATTTTCTTGTTTATACATACACTGTTCCATATTCCAATCATACACCGTTCTTTTATGCAACATTTAATAAAATAAACCACATTTTTCAACTGCAAATCAAATATGGCCTCCCGCCGCCATCGGCGATGCGGCTACACAAAGTTTATTGTCATTCAGTCGTCTTGTTGCTACCCCTTCCCATCCAGTTAAAAATATCAAGTCTGCTTCGTTCGTCAATTACTTTAAAATTTGCCCATCCATATTTTCTTTCGTTTTCTCATTTTCTTTTAATATACGTGCTCATATTCCTCTCCGTAATTAATTTAGACGTTCTTCTTCATTTTTTTTTTCGCAATACCGTTCAGCTTATTTTACCGCTGTTACATCACAAACATCCGCCTTGTTGTGTTCGATTGGTTCTAAACAAATATTGTTTCTTTTGATTTTCTTCCAAAATGTACAGTTTAAATTAATGTTAATCACTTAAAAAACTTCTTTATTTATCCCAGTCTGTTTGTTGTTCACTATGTTCACAGTTCCTATGCTCCGGCTCAATATATACAAATATCACTATTTTTACTCCTTCACATGTTTAAACATGTCGTTTCCAGAACTATTAAAACAAATTTAATGTTTTGACGAATCCGTGTGGATCGTCACATAAACGAAAATTTGACGATTAAAATATTGTATCTATCCATTTCTACAAATTTGTTTATTACATTATTTGACAAGTAACATCTTGAATTTTTGCAATCATGAAAACATTTGAAAATATTTTTCAAAAGTGTGAAGAATATAAACCACAATTTTCGGATAAGCAGACAAGAAAACAACTTGTCTCAATCTGTACCTCAAGTTAAAATTTACCTATTAAGGGTTCAATCCTTCATTTCGAGACAAGATGATACATAGAAGAACAGCCGACATCTTCAGTTCAAAACTCTGTTACAAATCAGGGTTTATCAAATAAATTACCGATTCACTGAGACTACACAATTCTGCTACCCACGTAAAACGATTTAATGACAAATTTAGATACCAGTACCATTACAAGTTAGATACCAATTCCATTACAGTTGACTTGACTACATTTTGCCTGTAGCGTGTACGTATCAAGCAAGGAAATAACCAAAGCATTAAATAAAACGTTTCCACTTTCAGGGGTTTCAACAGTTAAGAGCATCACTGAACGGAACAGCTTTTTCTTTTGGTCCCACATTTTCTGCCCTTATGTAAATTGGGAGCCAAATAATTCTTTCATCTTTCCTCGCGAAACGTACTTTCTAATTTTACAAGTAAATGGGGAACCAAACCAACACAGGTAAGAAAAAGGACTGATTGAGGAAGTAAGCGCGTTTAGGGGAAAAGCTAGTGTCCAGCTTTTCCTTGTAACTTATTAATAGAGACCGGATCATGAGTGTTGGTAAATAGGCCGCGAAATTTATTAAAATTTGGCGCCACGCTTCGAAAAGCTCAGCTTCGCTAGTATTTTAGAAGAAAAGATCATACATTTCCAACTTCCCGCCTCGGAGTCTAATCTTGCTCAAAAAAACGCGCGAATTCTTTCCTATTTTATATATAACTACTCATTTTTGGACAAAGCTCTTTGAAACCGATTTCCAACTGCTTCCGCTAGGCGGCCGCGACAAAAGAGTTGCTATTGTCAGATTTCCTAGAATCCAGTCACGACTAGCTCATATTTTTTGAAAATCAAAGGAGCCACGGCCACTTTTGTAGCGATTGTGCCGAGGAGCTAATTTTCGTCCAGGAAGAGGTAACCACGACAATCCCTTGAATACTCATTGATTCTTTCGGCAAAGTAATAATCTTTGTCAATTATGCATCCAAAACACTCGTTTTTGTGTCGAGTTTCTGTGTAAAATTGAATCCGAAGACTTTTAAAAATATTCCATTTACAGAAATTAATTTGTTTATCAGGGGATACTGATTTCTGATTGAGTCTGCTTCCAAATTAGCTTGTCTTGTCATTTCTCGAAGACATTATTGATGTCCCAAGATTTTGTAAATTAAAACCCCTGAAAGGCATATTATGCCGAACAGGCAGAAAAATAAATTTAAAAAAAAATGTCCCAAGATTGGAACAAACTAAAACCACGTACTTCTACGAAATTTCCGCTGACATGTATGAGTCGGGCGTTTTTAAACAGTAGTAATATACTAATATATGCAAGATCATTGAAAATATGCAATTGTCTGCAAATAAATGCATAATAAATGCAGGTTGCATATTATCCAGTCTCTACTTGTTAAAAATCTCCCAGAATCACTCCTATATCAAATTGAAAAGTAAAAAAAGCATTATAAGAGTGTCCAAATTTCATGTTGAGAGTTATAGAATATTAGCAGAGAAAAAGAAAGAATATAAAAATGGCAAGATAAGCTAAATTCATTCAATCAACGAATTATTGAATTCAATGAAAACCAACTTTAACCACAAGATTTCGACAGAAATATGCCAGTCTTAAGTCTGAAACATTAGAAAGGGAGTTGATTTAAAAATATTGGGTATGAAAATGTTCTTCGAAAATAAAGTCACCTTCTATTTTTTAACATGGGTTAGTCGGTCTCCAATTTACATACCCTCTTCTCTGGGTCTAATACTTTATTATGGGTTTCACTCTATTTTCTTTCTGGTTCTCGATTCACATACGCCGCATGTACTTTTAAAGTCGTCAGTGGCATGAAACCATGACAACGAGAGTGCACCACGAGGTTCTCACGCGGAAGTGATTCGATGCCTGTGACCCCGGCGCTGCCTACGTCTTCCAATTCCGGAGGAGGAAAGGCGCGTCAGCGTAGAGGAGGGGAGGGGAGAGGAGAGGCCGTGGCGGTGCGAGGGTAGCAAGCGGAGAGGGAGTCCCCCAGCGTCGCGTGGCGGAAAGATGCACTGACTGACGGTGGAAGGAAAAGGCCGGCGAAAGGAAACGACCGCCCACCAGACGCACGGGGCGGGGCGGGATGGGGGGTGGGGAGGGGCGAGGTGGGCGCGGCTTCCGTTTCCTCGCGTCTTTCCGCTCTCCCTCTGCCATTCCGCTGCGTATACGATGCCTGATAACGGAGGGCACGGCGTTGTGACGTCCGCTACTCGTATTCGTTGGTGCACTGGTTATCAAACCCTTTTGGCTCGCGGGACACTGACGTAGGAAATATTGTGGCGCATCCTCAGAGTGGAAACGCTGACGTGGACAGTCGACGTGGTCAGAGCGTGTGCCGACTTAGCGAATAGGTCGGAAGGGTCGCGGGTTCGAGTACCACCGTGGGCAAGGATGTTTGTTCCTCGTTTCTCGTGTATGTGTGTTGTCGTGGAAGGCTTTGTGAGTCTGCCGACCACACACCGATGAGCCCGAAAATGTGTCAGTGTGTAGTGTAAAGGTTAATAATGTGTCCCCATGAGGGACATAATGGGTATCCGGCGTGGGAAGTCGACAATCTGCATCCCTTGAAATGGGAAAAAACTGCTGGAAAAATATCTGCTGCGTGGAAACAATCCTGTCTGAAGCAGCATTATAATTTATTTTAATTATTTACTGACTGATTATTGGGTTTCCGGGTGCGTCAACTGCAATTATTATTAGCCCCGTAAGTGTAGTGAATTTTATATTATAGGAGGTTGTGCTGTTCATTTCCACTAGTATGTGGACCAGCATGGACCTTCACCTCGGCTAGCGGGGTTTCTCATCTCCAAGTATCTTCACCAGTCGCACACCGCCCTAGCCCGGACAAGCTCTAAGCTCCCAATATAAGTGGTGATCTGTTGCAAAGTGTGTATGTAAAGATCGCGACCGTTTGTTAAGGTAGAACTGTGCCGGCATTCGTCGGGTATTGACCCGAAGACCGCCGGAAAACTATTATCCCATTAACTAAACCACTAAAAATGATGTAATATTTTAAATATTTTATTTTCAGGGCTTCGTAAACTGTACCCGCAAATTATTTTTTTCGGAAATTCTAGAAAGAAGTGCGAACACAAAAAATTATTCTAGTAAAATATTTTTCTATGTATTTCGCATCTACGCAAGTCTCAACCAGATCGTTTCCAGTGAAAGCATGACAATTATGAACGATTACGTCGATCGTAATACCCACGTATGACCTCGGCGCGGACTTCCTGTGGATGCGTCGAGTGCGATCACAGAGCTCAGTCGCCGATGGCCGTAAAGCCTGCGATGCGTGGTGACGTAACGACGCAAAAACGCTCCACACACTTAGAGGCGACTGGGCACCGATTACGTAGGTGCTGCGTGACGCAGGCCGCGCGGCGCGAAAACACCAGCGGGCAGCCGACTGGCCGCCTGCGAGGTGAGCGCGCGCCGCCCCGCGCCGCGCCGCCCGCTGTACACTGGAGTCTTCAGTACATTTAAGCGGCCGGGACCAGCTCGCGACCTAAGTGATAGAGAATCAGGCTACTAGCCGGATGAAGTATGATACCTGACCGACGAAATTAAATTTACGAAAGTTAAAACAATAAGTAAGTAAAAAAAAAGAGGAAACGAGAAAATAAATGAGAAAGTAAAGGAGAAAATTAATGAGTAGATAAATGAGTTAATAAATATATAAATGAATAACCGAATTGTAAATTCTTTCCATGATGCTAATCCGGCTTTGCCTTTTCTGCAGATTAGCGAAAATTCTGTCTCACTGAAAGTACTTCCACGTTCAGCTTTTTATAATTTGTATTATAGGAAATTTTTAACGATAAAATAATCGTGAAATGCACACCATTCAATCATAAAAACGCGAGTATTGCCGTAGAAAGTAGCACTTTTTACATAATCATAGGATGAAGTCAAAATCTACATGGCTAAAAAGGGTATAAGAGAGAACAATTTTATGATTATTTATAGATAATTAACAACTAAAAACATGCAAAACGTTTTGATTGCCTTAACACACGCATTTTTAGTATCCATTTACTTAAGTAATTTTAAGAAGTATAGGCGGATTGTGCCGGTTTAGAGAAAATGGAAATAAACAAGAGAAACCTGCACTATTTCATTTTTGTCAAAAATCCTTTTCGACAAGAAACATTAACGTCTGTTCATGACATTTGTAGGCAGAAGGAAAGCAACAGATGCTACTGGTATCTGAAAGAACTTAACGGCATCAATGACTGAAATCTACAAACAGTTTACGTAACTTTCAAAACTTGCGTCCATGTTATACGATTGCAATTTGTAGTTTCTTACAAGATGCTACACGATAATTTATTAAATATTTCTTACAGCACTCATCACTATAAGCAAGCCACTCAACCTGTGGTATTTATAATCATGAGACCACTAATTTACAGAAACGTACATTTATTTTCTAATTTAATATTACGAAAATTAAAAAAATATGATCACATATGCAGGAAATTAATGAAAATAAATATTTATTGAAATTTATTGTTTAAGCCATCTGGTGCAACCCACGCACGTCATGACCATATTAGAATAAATAAAAATTAAAACATTAAGAACGAAATAAAAATAATTGCCACAATAGTGTGATTATACATAATCATGTATCTTAAGGAAATAATGATCTCGGTGGTCATGTTCTTCCTGATCAATTAGAGAAGAGGGATTGTTGAAGAAATCAAGATAAACGGCGGGTACAGATTTTAAATGTTCTTTGATATCTTTAAATTTATTGGCTGTGATTGGCCTTGGAGATTTGCATTTTACAGGAAAATTAATTTGTGTGAGATCGAATACGGGCTCTACGGGCGGGGGGGGGCGGGGGGCGGGGCCGGGGAGTGGTGGGGAAGGGGATTCCCATGACCGCGCGCACGGCGCACGCGTTGGCCGGCGAGGGCCAGCGCCCAACCGGTTTTCGCGTGGGGTCAGAGCCCGCGCCGGAGGAGGCTCGCCGACTCTCCATCACGCACTCTCTCCCAATGACGCAGATACAACTTGTGCCACCCTTGGAGCTCACTGCTGTCAGAATAAAACGAACAAGTAAAAACGTAAACATTAAGAAACAGAAAAGGAGGGGGGGACTTTAGACTTAGGGACGCTAAAAAGACATACGGCACCACGAACGCACGAAGACCGCCTCCGAGATGAATGCACAAGAGGGTAAGTGCCACACAGCCGTCGGAGACACGGTGATTAGATCACCAACGAATAACTCCAGAATCGGATGGCAATGGAGAAGGCGCTGAATATACGGAATGTAAGTCCTTGATGATTACTAACTGATCGCACCGATAGTGTCTAAGATCTTTGTGAGAGTATGGGAGCGAAAATCCTTTCCTAAATTACATCACATGTAAACTGAGGGGAACAAATCGTTGTTTCCAAATCGTTGTTTGATCCTTCAATTATTTCCTTTCATTCCTCAAGGCCTCAAGCACTAACTACCTCTTTCGCCCCCCTGTCATCAAGTACCTACTGATGTCAGCTTCGGGGTTTCCCCTGTGAAAGTTATCGAACTGGAATTGCTCTCAGTAGGACAAACGCAACACGTACACTTCTTCCCCAGTGAAACTTCTCAATTAAGTGATGAAGTTTATGCAGGGAGCACTATGGAATTTCTTTTCTATTTTTCCAAAGAGTCGAGTAGTAGTTATCTTTCTACATTTCCTCAGCCAGTACAATAAACGTGAAATAATTGTTCGTTGTTAAATTTCTATATGTACCATGAATAACACGATTTAGTGTTCTGACCTAATGCGACAGTAGAGAATTTTTATTTTCCAACATTTCCTTGCCAATGTGAGGGAGAGCATCTACCATATGAAATGTACACACACAGAGAGTCACAATTTTTACGCCATATTGGTCAGATTTCGAAGAATTAAAAAATATAAAAGTGCAGTTACCTTCAAAACCAAGGAGTTGCTCATCTACCGTCCTCACATTCAAAATGAATTTTATCCAAATGTATCTTACGGGGGCAATTGTGTATTCTGGATTTCTCGCTTCCCTGTCATCAAATCTTATACACGTAATAAACTCAAAACGTGCCTTGGATATTGTGCAACTGTAGATTTCTGACCACTGTCTCAATATTTCACATCCTGTCAAACGTCCATCTTTTCTACAGCCACAATGTACAGGAGGTCGATGAAACAGCCATATTTCTCTTGTTATTTTTCTTTTTTATTTCTGGTCGCAACAACATCTAAATCATTAACGACCATTATTGCATTTAACGGAATGGTAACTGTGAAGATGACATGATATGGTGATGATAGGGGGTGAAATGAACCCAAATTCAACTACACCCGAGGCGGGACTCGTACCTGCCATCCTTTGGTCCGAGATCGCTACGGCACTACTGCCTTAATGATTTCTACCACCCGGGCCGGCTCTCATACTTTTGTTGGCCCTACATGTCTGCAATCTGTATCGCGCTCCCCTCTTCTCCATTTCATTCTTAGTAAAATCAACAATTGTTTCCATGATGTTATCACTGAACAAAAGATTCAAAGCTTATTTTTCCTTTAATCAAATTTTTTGCTGTTCCTTTTGGGCCTGGATACACGCACATATACATTTTTTGTGGCATACGAGAGGAAGGAGGTTCTTTCTTCAACTAGACAGACGTAACCGTTTCTTCCTTTCCATACACATTCATCATTTTCCTTTCCTTCATCTGATACTACATCTTCATTTTCAGATTCTTCAACAACGCAATATTCGTCATCAGTGTAATCAAACGAACATCATCATCATCATCATCAATCATTCCCGTTATATATTATCAAAATACCGGTCTAAATAATTTACAGATGTCTTCATGCGATTTTGCTGTTCTTGTACTATTGTTATCTACATTGTCGCTCATCGTGAACACTAATTATTCACATCTCTAACACCAAAAAATACACCTATAACACTGACAAACAGTCAAACACTACCCCACTACATCACACTCTCATATAACTCAATTCATACTAATTGAGAACTGACAATTAACTAGCGCGAAGAACTGCGCAATGTCACCTAAAACATCAGGCCTATTGGCAGGCAGCCATATTGCTGCTGACGTCACTACTTGTAGTCATAGCATTACATTTCGGCAAAAGTGTATTCTACATGTGAATCAGTGTGCACTGCTAATGTCGTGTGTAGAATTACATGAGAACAGTGTTTTTATCCATTTTATGGTATAAAAATATCTGTGCATTAAATTTATGCGAACAGAACATATTTGTAGCAGAGCAAGTTTGATACAGAGTCCTTGTAATAAATTGTAAAAACGTTGCAAGTTCAGGTTACGTGAAGTTGGCCTGCACATCTACTTTGAAATTACTTTAGACGCCGTAAGTGGAAAAAATCCAGAATATGCGTTGTAGTACATAGGAATGAAATTCAGTTTGTCGAATGAAAAGGACAAGACTGGTACGCGTATCATATAAATATGTAGTTTATAAATATCCGGTCAGAAAATTGACAGGTGAGTTGCTAAACAATTATATCAAAACTTAAAAAGATTGGTTTTAAAGTGATTGCAATGATCTGACAACAACCGCGTGAACCGAAAAGCCGTGTCATTGTTTTCCGATCCTCCAAAACTAGAAAGAGCATATGAATATCCATGCGGATTCTACAGAAAATTACTTTTTTTCTTCTTTTGACAGTGTGTACCTCTTGAAGTGCTTAAAAACAAGTGGTTAAATCAAGGTAACCAAGAAATTAACTTTCCTAATACGGAAAACGGTGTTATGCGTGTAGGATTATTTAGTTGCCACATTTAGTGCGCATTTTGAGATGCAAAATAACTTTAAATATGGGAATATTTTAAATCTAAAATCGTTCATCTCTTTTTAGTTAAAAATTAACTGTTCATTGAATGAAATACAATAAAATGCTGTGAAAATTCCTTTCTGTAAAATATCGTTACTAAGGCAGTCAAGAAGGTAAGTAAACGTTAACTGACATTGAGCAGCCGGCGGAAGATTAGTTTGTCGCAATGACTACCCGTGATGTCACAGCGTCAGTCAACAGGCCTTATATTAGTGTGTAGGTGGCATTGGCTCGGATAAAACATAGACATCAACAATTAAGTATATAGAACAGATAAATGCAGCCAACCGCATCATTTACTAATAATTAATGTTTATTTTTTTCGTGGGGTCACTAGCAACCCCAGTGAGGTTTGTGGTTTAATATGAATATATTAATTAAGGAGACCATACCATATATAATGCAAAATATTTGTATTACACATCGATCATGTTAAATGTATTTTTCGCACGATCTACAATGCTCTGTTAGAGATGGCAAGTTCATGAACAAACGGCATAGTGGTTAGAACACGTTTGCTAACCATCAACTCTCGTTCAAACGTCAACATGGAATGAAATTGTTATCCGGTCTTGCCCTATTCAGTGCGGTCGTCAGGTCTTCTCTGCCCCCTTTCCGCACGGTGCTTAACTAGCCATCTTTTCGCCATTTCAAAAATATTACTCTCCTGTGACTAGGGCCCTTACTTATTAGGATCGAAATCAGATTTAACTGAAATACGTTTAATGTAAAAAGGCTAAACACATAAAACTAGTTGCTCATCAACAGCACAAACATTCTTGCATTATTTGTTACTTTTGCAATTTTCATAAACTTTAGTAGTTCAATGAAAATTGTATTAACGCCATTTCTACGCACACTACGCACTGGCCGAGACAATAAATTTAAAAAATCGAGACTCCTTCTAAAGAATAACTAGTGGTTCTACACAATGACACAGACCTGCTTGTACTAGTTACTTTTCCATTTTCGTCGGCGTAAAAAAAACAACAAAAAAACAAACCTCTCGCGGAATCTACTTCTTTGGGGTAGTGAACACGTTTGCGCCCCGCGATCATCTCAGATACCTATCTTGAGCCTTTACCTTCCTATATTTGTAAATAGTATTCCTTGGCCCTAGCTCGGCGCTTGTCTCATTGTTCAGCGAGTGAGATCCAGTTCCTCAAACATAGATTGCATTGTTTCCTTACAGGTCAATCTACAAGCATTATAGTATTGGCATTATGGTACAAGCATTATGGTATATTCGACCATAATGAACTCTGAATTCCCAACACCTTCACCACAACTGGAAACATTGACGCCTTATGTTGCTAATGGCAAGTTACGCGTGATCCCACAATCACTGAATGCTCAAGCTGGATAAGATGGTATAAAGTGCCACCGCTTGAAATTTAAAACACAATTTTTTCCTAAGGATTGTGACTACGAAACACATTTCTTCATGGACGTTTTAGATTCCTTGCCCCACACATCCTAGGTAATAACGAAAAGCATTTTTTCATTTATTTAATTGAATTGGCCGTATGAATTTCCATGGAAAATATTAGTAATTTTTGTGAGGTTTGCTCAGTTTTTCAAAAATAATTTTAAGAGTTTTATTGGACGAGAAATTTTCAAATATTGCCCAAAAAATCAGGTAACTTCTGGATTTTTAAATTTATTTATTAATGGAGATTTTTTGATTCGTGTGCTATGTTTAAAAAAATTAAAATACAAATTTTTGTCCCATTTTGAGTATTGTCATGTACATACAACTACACGGAGAGGTATAATTTACAATATTATTTGTTTTCTAGTCACATCATTTGCAATATTAAAAGGCTAATGTCAATAAATAGTTTTGTCAATATTTTGGCCCATTAGAAATCATCACATCAGACAGTCAACACTTTTTTGTTATGTTGAAGTACCTACTTGAAAGTTTCGAAAAATTATTTAGGTTAAGTTTTAGAGAATTAACACTATTTGAAGAGAGAAATTCTTGAGAACGTATGTAATGAATATGATGTCGCTAATAAATCAAGAGGTTGACGCCACCTAAAATAAGTATATTATCTATCTATAAGAAAATCAAAAAACTACTTTAAGAGATGCAAATAAAATTGCTGTTTCCGATTTCGAAAC